TGCACAGGGTTTCTATGTGGTCTTCAGTTTTTTGTATGACATGTATTTTCAAACCCACAAAAAGGTCAAAATATCTGTATTCTATCTTGGTATTTAATGAAACTCAAATGCCTCTAATTTAATATACATACTAAAACTGTAAGTAGCACTGCTTCCCTTGTTACAGCCATCAGCAATATTCAATATTCAGAGATTTTCCTATTAAAAGCAATATGATTATTGAACAGTAATATTGCTTCAATCTACTGATTTCTGAAAAGTCCCCTTGGGTGAACATTTGGCAACAAACTATGACTGGGTACCTATAATAGATAAAAAATTCCTTTCTCCTTGCAGTTAAAGGCAAATACATTACCTACTCAGGGTTTGTAAAAGCCGTGAAAGTCCTCGAAGATGCTTGAATTTAACAATAAAAAATTCAATGCCTTGACAGTACTTGAATTTGAGGACTAGGGCTTGATTTTTGCAATGCTTTTTCTTTAGCAATTTTCAAGTTGAAAATTATAGTACTTACATGGAAAGGCTGAGAAATACTATTAAATAATTTTAAAATTGCTTATGCAAACCTTTCCTAAAGTGGTCCTTCAATTTCCTAACACTTGGCTAACAAAGTCATTGAAAAGTCCTTGAATTTCAACCTGTGGCATTTGTAGGAACCTACTCCTATATGGCAATATTATTTTCATTGTTGTCCAGTACCATAACAACATTCATTAAACTCTAGCAGACCAAAAAATAAAAAACAAAAGTAGACTTATTTATGACCAGCAATGACGAAATTGCGTGATGTCAGTAACAATGGCAACGTGGCAGCCCCCAAAAGATAACTTCAGATGTGCGATATTGAAAGCCCGAGTTCACGCAGCTATGCGTCTAGTTGTATTATGGTCCTCTCTTGAAAATGTTATAAGGGCTCATGGCATAGACGCGATGATTACACTGATGATTCTCAGCTCTATATCATAATAAAGTGGAGCAATCGTCGTGTTGTCTTAGAACAGCTTGAACTTTACATTGATGATATTCTATGTTGGAACACGCAGAACGGTCTTAAATGCAACCCAACCAAGACTGAAGTCATTTACTTCTACCCTCACTTCACACCCAGTGACAGCATTTCACACCTCAGAGTCGGCACTGCTACTATCGAACCAGTAAATGAAT